TGTAGAAACATCTCACTTGTTGATTAATGAACCACCCAAAAGAATGTATATACTTATGAACACATATAAACTTATTTGTTCAAAGGGGGAATCAATCAAAATAACTTGACTCTAATTATATACATATTTATTTTTCAGAAATATAATAAAATATTTTGAAACATTTTCCAACACTAACATGGATTGTCAAAATTCATAATTTAAAATGTCAAGTAATGATCCATGTCATCCTCTATAGACTTTATGATGGGGAACGGGGTGTGATTCGCACACATGAGTTGCACGTGTTCCAACGTTACTTTTGGAGATGAGTGAAAGAGAAATAAAATTAAGGATTTTAGTAATTTAGGGTTTTATTTATGCTTATTGTTATATTTGATCATGTTTGAATTTTAGGGTTATTTTGGTATTTTTATGTTTTAGCGTTTGCTTAATAATTTGCCTATTTAAAGGCTCCTTTGTAATTTGAGAACTCAGTTTTTGGAATATTGAATATTATCGTTGAGTTTGTGAACTCTCTCTTTGTATCTATTCTCTCTCGTGTTCTTGCTGTTCTTAATTCCTCAGTCTCTCTAGCCTACCTCCTTCAGTCTGATTTCTCATCTCATTCGTCTATTTTCTCACCTCCTTCATCAGTCTCATCTCTTCTTCTCATTCTCATCCCCTTCTTTTTTTCTGGTTACTATTTACACACTACTTATCCAGCGTCAATTCGTATCAGAGCAAAACGATCAAGTTTATTTAGAGTGAAAAATCACAAATCATCATTGCCGGAGTTCTCTCTTGTCGCCAATATCCCTTGCCGTCAGCCCCCCTTCATCTGTTTTGCATCATCGTTGGCTTTCTCATCAACGTCTGGCACATCTTGACATCAGTCCGTCGTCGAACAGTCTTCACCAGAGTTTGCCGTTGATTTCATCGCCTCATCATCACCGAGATTTTCTGATCATCGCTGCCATCTTTCCCATCGCAACTTCAGCCGAGAATTCAGTGTTTGATTTTGGTAAGTCAAATTTGGTTATTGTCAGTATCGCCACTTCAGCACAGAATTGAAGGATTGATTTTGGAAAATCAACTTTGGATTATTGCAATCTTAGAGATCGTTATTGTCACCAAAATTTCAGCGCCACTGATTTTGGAAAGTCAACTTTGGATTATTGCAATATTGTCACCAAAATTTCAGCGCGACTGAATTTGGAAAGTTAACTTTGGATTATACCTTCTGGTTTGGAAAGATCAGATTTGAAAATCAGAATTGGTTTGGAAAGGATAAATTTGGTTTCTCTTGTATACCAGATTCTACCTGCCCCAAATCAATTAAAAAAGAGTAGTGATACTCACACCGAACACTTGCAATGAATTGCTTAACCAAATAATTTTTAATTGGCTATTTATACTAAATACAACTAAGTGGAGGGTTCCACTTCCTTATTTGTTGCATAATTGACCAATTAAAAGAGTAGGTCTAGCAATTCACTGCTACTATTCGGTGCAAGAATCAATTTCCTTAAAACAATTTGACCCGGTCCAGGAAGCAAGTTCAGAACAAGGCCAGCCCAGTACAACAGTGATCCAGAAACAGAAAAAGAAAAGAAATGAAACAGCTGCCAAGAGAATTGTATCAGATTGGTTTGGCCAAGCCCAGAAACAGTTCAGCAATCTTCAACCGGAAACCAGTGCAGCAGAACCAAAGAAAAAAAAAAAAAAAAAAAAAAATGTTCAGAAAATTATTTTAAAGTGGGATTGATCAACTTCAGCTGTTGGAGAAACTTTTTGGAGCTTTCTTTGTTCGGATAGCTGCATTGGACTTCGGTAGAGGTAAGCCTACTTCACTTGAAAATTGAATTATCTGTTTGAAGTCCATAAATTTGCAAGAAGGTCCAGACTTTAACTGAAAATCATTATTTCTTGACCTATTAAACTTCAGTACCTCACTGCCATTTGTTGTTCGTCACCACTACCACTAAATTCTGCACATTATTTCACTTACCAAAAAATATATATATATATTCTGCCCATTTTTGCCAAGCTCTCCTGCATTTCAATTTTTACTATGAGCATTATGGTATTTTATAATTTTGGATTACTTGATTCAATTTGAGTATTATATCGGCATTCTTTTATTATCCATTGTCATTATTCAGAATGAGAAAAACCAGTTTCAAAGAGAGTCGAGTCCAAAATTATGCTAGGAGACCTCAAGCTGTTCAACCACATCGAGTCTTAGAATGCAAGTATCCTCAACCTAAGCACTTAAATGTCATGAATAAAATTGGACCAATCCATAACCACACAGGAAATTGGAAAGAAGATCAGTCCATCAATAATGTCTTGACAAGTGTTCCATCCATTCTTTTGGAAAATGATGATTGGAGAAGAACCAACCTATTTCACACATATCTCCAATGCGGAGATAAAGTCTGCAAAATCATCATTGACAAGGAAAGTCCAGTAAATGTGGTATCAAAATCAGGTATTAATAGAATGAAACTCAAACCCGAGCCTCATCCACAACCATATAGAGTGGCCTGGGTAGGAGAAACTTCCTTCTTGGTCTCTGAGAGGTATTTAGTTCCAATTCAAATGGGTGTCTATTTTGGCATGATTTGGTGTGAGTGATGTATTACCTATGAAGGTAGCCAATGTACTTCTTGGTCGCCCATGGATACGTGATTTAAATGTGAATAGCTGTTGTAAAGAGAACACGTATACCTTCAAGTATAATGGCAAAAATATCAAGTTAAATCCCGCAAAGCCATTAGAAAGTGACTCTAAGGCACAATATAAGCCCTCTCCTCAGCCTTTTGTTGATGAACTCATGTTAGCAAGAGAAATGGCAAAAGAAGTTTTACAAATTCCATCTGAAAATGTGTTTAAATGAATCTAATGTCCCACGTCATCCCATTCTAGATAATCATGTAGAGGATGTTAGAATTCATGGCTCATACAATTCCATTGTTTCAGGTATGGACGTTAAGTATGTAGGCTATTTTTGGAAAACACTTTGGGCATCTTTGGGCGCTAGTTTGAAACTTTCCTTTGCATTTTGTCCTGACAGAAAATTTGAGGTTGTTAATCATGGTATAGGAAAGTTGGTTAGTTTTCTTGTAAGAGTGCCCTTAAACACTTCGGACTTTTTGTTCTCTGTTGTGGAGTTTGCATATAATAGCTTGGTCAATTGGTCTGCTAGAAGTTGTTCTTTTGAGATTATACCTCTGATTTTCCTTCGCCAGCCCATTGACTTTACTTTGCTGCCTCCACATTCTTGTTCATTCAAAATATGTGATTCCTTTGTCGAGTATGTCCGTGATCTTCATGCCGATAGAAGACGACAAATTATTTTGAGTCATAAAAATTATAAATTTATTGCATATGCTCATCATAGGAATCTTAAATTCTTGGAAGGAGATTATCTTATAATTTGTTTTCCACAACTACCTTATCCTTACAACTCCCTCAATTCATTGGAAGCCCAAGGCATTCAACATTTCCACATCACTAATAAGTTTGGACCTAATGCATATTTATTTGACTTGTCAACAGATACTAGTATTGGTCCAATTTTTCATGTGGAGTATTTGATGCCTAATCGTGGTGCCTTTAAGCCTCTTGTGTTGTTAGCTTGTGTTTCTACAGGTGGAATTACATTTTCTTTAGCAGCAACACTTGTCCTCCCATCATGTGAGCTATGGCCTTGGAATTGGATTAAGGGCAGGGACAGAGCCAATGAAGGCCTAGGGGGGGCACGTGCCCCCCCTGAGTTGGTCAACAACCTATAATATATGTGGTAATTTTTTAAAAAAATTCCGTATATATGAAAAAATTTATACAGTGCCCCCCCTCAAATTTTTAGTTCCTAAAATTATATTTTTATTTTTTCTTTATTTTCTCTTTTATTCTTCGCATTCCTTAAATTTCCTTAGTAGAAAAAGTCAAATTTTTCTTCCTCAATTGAAACTTTTCAACTATTTCTTTTTAAAGTTCTCTCATTTTTCTTTCCTTTTATATTTTAATAATTTTTTTCTTCTTTGTCTTTTGAATTTTATAGTTGTTATTCAAAAAAATAATAATAATACGGAGTATATATATATATATATATATATATATATATATATATATATACTCCGTATTATTATTATTTTTTTGACAGCGTGTCCCCCCCTCACTTGAAATCCTGGCTCCGTCACTGATTAAGGGTATTATTGATGGTCAGAGTGAGTCACAATGGATGTATTTTCCAGTTTCAGACGTCTCATGGATTACAGTTGAGTTTTGCCATGTTGATACGAGCTATTTCAAGCAGCAATTTCCGCTTAACTTTTTGGAGAAGAGTTCTTCTCAGCCGTGGAGAATTGATGGGGAATGGGGTGTGATTCGCACACATGTTCCAACGTTACTTTTGGAGAAGAGGGAAAGAGAAATAAAATTAAGGATTTTAGTTATTTAGGGTTTTATTTAGGCTTATTGTTATATTTGATCATGTTTGAATTTTAGGGTTATTTTGGTATTTTTATGTTTTAGGGTTTGCTTAATAATTTACCTATTTAAAGGCTCCTTTGCAATTTGAGAACTCAGTTTTTGGAATATTGAATATTATCGTTGAGTTTGCAAACTCTCTCTCTCTTGTATCTATTATCCCTTGTGTTCTTGCTGTTCTTAATCCCTCAGTCTCTCTAGCCTACCTCCTTCAGTCTGATTTCTCATCTCATTCGTCTATTTTCTCACCTCCTTCGTCAGTCTCATCTCATCTTCTCATTCTCATTCCCTTCTTTCTTTTTGGTTACTATTTACACACTACTTGTCCTGCATCACTTTAGCTTCAAGATTAATTTAGTTTGTGTCATTGCTTTTTTCCTCCCTCACTTACTAGTTTACATCTAAGTTGGTGTGTTTGTCATACAACTTCTAAATGTCACATATATTTGCCCATATGCATAATAATTTACTTTATTTTCAGCTTTAGAATGCATTCAACTTTGCCTTCTTCTCCTCTGCTGCAGGTGGGTTGATGAAGTTATTCCTGATGCACCATGGGTGATCACACCAGAGTTCCTGGACAAACATGAGATTCACTATGTGGCACACGACTCTCTTCCGTAAGGTTAACCAGCCCTAATTGTTTCATTTCCCCCCTAAGGACCTGCTGGTTTTGATGAGAAATGAATTTTATGGAGTAATTTTGAAAGAAGCCATTTCTTTTAGGGTTATATTTATTTTCTTAAGGGAACACGTTATTGTGGTTAACAATTTTAACAAAATATCTGTTATACCCGAATTTTATCTCTTTTTTTATAAAAAATAGAAAGATTGTCTATGATGATTTTTTTCAACACTACAAAAGGAATCTGTGTCTTCTAAACATTTGCAAATGTTGGAATGTATCTTATGCATGAAATTCTTTCTTGGGAAAAGAAGAGCTTTTCAATGTGGGCAGATAGGTATGGTGAATTTTCGCTTTATGTTTTTTTCTTTTGTTACTTTCATAGCAGAAACTGTTACTTATAAAAATAATATTTATAATAATAGCTGAAATTGCTCATTGTGTATATACCAAAACAACTAGAGAATTAAACAGTTTGTAGATTTTATTTTATTTTTCCATTTTAGTATTTATAATTATCTCGTAACTTTGAGTCACGACATTTGTTCTATTCTAGAATTTCCCTTTTACTTGTATTTAGTTCTTTATTGTATATAATGGTCATGGAAGTAGTTGATGATGCCATTTCTATTTCACATATTGTACACGTTGAATCCTTTTCCTGTGTGGTTCCCGAACACCCAATGTTATTTCTTATGGCGCATGCAATTTTATATTGTCCTGGTTATTTTAAGTTACGTTGCGAATGTGTTAATGGCTTCGTGTTTGCTCTAAATTTTAGTTATGCTGATGCAAGTGGGGCTGGAAAAGATGTTTATGAGTTTGTAAGTTCACACTGTCATTCATTTATATGATTATCTGCTTTTACTAACATTGGCCCTTTCTTTGTTCCTGGGTCGCTATGCAAATTGGGTTTTCTCTATAGTGATTTTAAGTTATGTTTCAGTACAATCTCCTGCCATTTGGAATCCAACCCCCACCTCCCTCTTTATTTCAGTTTCTTTCGGCCGTCCATCTGTTTTTCTCCTTTTCGCTAAAGTATTTTTATGGGCTTGCTGTATTTTACATCCTGTTATTCCACCATGATGGATCTGTGGTTGGATTTAGATACAGGTATGACATAAAATTCTTGTATTAGGTTAAATCTGTTGGAAAATTTAAGGAGACCAAGCGTACAGATGGGATATCCACATCAGATGTAATAATGCGGATTGTCAAAGACTACAACCAGTATGTGATGCGCAACTTGGACCGAGGATACTCAAGAAATGAGCTTGGTGTTAGCTATGTGAAGGTACTTATTTTTCAAGTGACCATTGCTTATTTCTTCCAATTTTTTCAAGATTTTATTTTCTATGTGTTGATCTTCAGTCAACTTATTACCATTTTCCACTAAGTGAGCTGATTTCATCCCTGTTTCTTTCAATCAGGAAAAGAGGCTGAGAGTGAACATGGGATTGAAAAAGTTGCGTGAAAAAGTGAAGAAACAACAAGAGAAAGTTGGTGAGAAGGTATTTAGGTTTTTAAGTTAAATACATTTTTATGATGTGTAATTAATTATTGGTTATGGCATGGGAATTCTAAATCATAAGCTAGATTTGTTAAGGCTTCATGGAAAATAGTGGCAAATGTTGGATTCTAACTTATTTATTGTCAGTGTTTAGACTAACTTAACATCTCAGTCATGGTTAAACACCCTGGAACTGTCTCCTCTTCTTATAGGAGCCTTAGCTTGTCACACAATCAATGTGTGAAACCATTTGTAGTTGGTGTTTTTGTCCACAAACTCCATGGTACATAATGCCTAAGCTGTAGTTTAAAACCTTCAACCTATTTGTTTCCTTGTTTTGAATATGATGTTTGAAATGAAAACACTTGTTTATTATTATTTTTTTTTTCCTAGTTGGTACTCACACACACATGCTTCCACTGAGGCTTGAACCCTTGACCTCTCTTTGAGAAGTAGGGGCTTGGTAATGTTAGGCCACTGGCCTGTTGGTAATGAAAACAAAAGTAACTTGGTAAAATTGGCGTACTCAATTTGAGAGCCTGACTATCATTATATACAAGCGAAAAATTACAAATATGGAAAAGAGAATAAAATCAAATCAAAATAAAGAGAATAAAATCAAATAAAATCAAATCAGAATAAAAATAAAATCCCTAAAAATTAGCCCATATTGAAGACCCAATAAATCTGCCATAATCGTTGAGTCAACTTATAGATAAGATTTCCAACACTCCCCCTCAAGCTGGAGCAAATATGTTGACTAAGCCCAGCTTGACGATGGAAGACTGGAGAAGAGAAGGCCCAACAGACTTTGTGAACACATCTGCAGTCTGTTCTAAAAAAGGAACAAAAATAGGATTAATGATACCCGATCGAACCTTCTCTCGACTAAAGTGAATGTCTACCTCAATATGTTTCGACCTTTCATGTAAAACAGAATCAGAAGCAAGCATAATGGCTGATTTATTGTCATAAAACAGCTTTGAAGAACCTTTCTGTACAAGACCCAACTCTCCCAAAATTGATTGAAGCCAAAGGAGCTCACAAGTACCTTGAGCCATAGCTCGGTATTCAGCTTTAGCAGAGGATCTAGAAACAACAGCCTGCTTCTTACTCTTCCATGATATGAGATGATTACCATAGAAAGTACAGAAGCCAGAGGTAGAACGTCTATCTGTCTTACATCCAGCATAGTCTGCATCAGTAAAGCATGAGAGTCCAGACTGATTTCCTGAGGCATAGAACAGACCAAGACCAAGGCACGACTTAAGGTACCTCAAAATATGGTAAACTGCATCCATATGAGCTGAGCGAGGGGCATGCATGAATTGACTAATCACACTGACAGCAAATGTCAAATCGGGCCTTGTGTTAGTCAAGTAGATAAGACGACCTACTAAACGTTGATACACGGATGGATCTGGAAGTAATTCCCCTGACTCAACAGAGAGTTTAAGATTGGGGTCCATAGGAGTGGAAGCGAGTCGACATCCAAGCATACCAGTATCTTGAAAAAGATCCAAAACATATTTTCTTGGAGATAAAGAAATTCCACGACGGGATCTAGCAACCTCAATTCCAAGAAAATATCGAAGAAGACCTAAGTCCTTCACATCAAAGGACTTTTGAAGATGAAGTTTCGCCTGAGCAATCCCTGAAGCATCATCACCTGTGATAATGATATCATCCACATATACCAATAACATAATGCAATGACCATCAGAGTGACGTCGAATAAAACAAGTATGGTCTGAGTGGCAGCGCACAAAGCCCATGGATAAAACAACATTGCTGAAACGACTAAACCAAGCTCTAGGAGATTGCTACAGACCATAAAGAGACTTCCGTAGCCTACAGACTTTCCCAGCATACTCCCCCTCAGCCCGAAATCCAGGGGGTGGATCCATATATATAGTCTCAAGTAAGTCTCCATTACGAAATGCATTCTTGACATCTAACTGATGCAGAGGCCAAGAATGGGCAGCAGACAAGGAGACAAGCAGTCGCACAGACGTCAACTTAGCCACAGGAGCAAAAGTAGCACTAAAGTCTTTACCCGGAATCTGAGTAAAGCCTTTTGCCACCAACCGAGCCTTATACCGATCAATAGAACCATCGGCTAAGTACTTCATATTAAAGACCGACTTGTAGCCAACCGTTTTCTCCCCAGAAGGTAAAGCAACAAGTTCCCATGTATTATTATGGTGTAAAGTATCCAATTCTGTTGTCATGGCAAACACCCAATTGGGATCCTGGAGGGCTTCTGACACAGATTGAGGAATAGAAACGGTCCCAATCTTGCTCAGGAAGGATTTATATGCACCTGAAAGACCATCATAGGAGACATACTGGGAAATAAGGTGGTTAGTGCTACTAGAAAAACCATACCAATTAGGAGGATGACGATCACGGGTAGGATAACGGGAGGTACGCTCAAGAATTGTAGGATCAATAAGAGAAGGAGAGTTACCTGGCCCTGGTTCTGAAGATGATTCTGGCAGGGGAGGTTGAGTGCGATGGCGACGAGAGTAGACCTGCAAAGGTGGAGGGGAACCCTGCATGGATGGAGAAGGAGATTCTAGGACAGTGTGATTTTCAAAGAGAGGAACAAGACGGGCAATAGGAGAAATCTCCTTCTCCAGATCACAAGAGAGAGAATCCTGTACCACAGAATTAGTACTATAAAAAGGAACAGTTTCATGAAATGTCACATCAAGAGAATGATACATATGTTTGGTCACAGGATCATAACAACGATAGCCCTTTGACATAGCAGAATACCCCAAGAAAATACACCTAATAGATTTATCATCAAGTTTATGACGAGAAGGACTACGGTTATGAACAAAACAAGTACAGCCAAAAATACGAGGCAGAAGGTGAAACAATGTATAATCAGGCTGGAGAATCTGAAGTGGTGCCTTACCACCCAAAACTCGACTGGGAGTACGATTAATCAGAAAAGCAGTTGTAAGAACAGCCATGTGCCAATAGAATTTAGGCACATGCATACCACTCAGAAGACATCGGACCACAGACATAAGATGACGGTTTTTGCGTTCAGCCACGCCATTTTGCTCAGGAGTATAGGGGCAAGTGAGTTGATGTAAAATCCCCTTTTTATTAAGTTCAGACCGGAACTCATTCGAAACATATTCTCGTCCATTATCAGAACGAATATTACGGACAACAGTGTTATACTGGGTTTTGATCATTTGAAGAAACTGGGTAAATAAAAGAAACACATCAGATTTCTTTTTCAATAAATAAACCCAAGTACAACGAGAATAATCATCAATAAATGTCACATAATATCGATGTCCAGAGAAAGCAGTAACTGGGGAAGGGCCCCAGACATCAGAATGAATAAGATCAAACATACTAGGAGCACGACTCATATGAGAAATATAGCTAGTTCTAGTATGTTTAGAAAGCTCACAAACTTCACATTGAAACTTATGGTCCTTACATGCTTTATTTAACGAAGGAAACAATATACATAGATATTAAAAGTTTACATGCCCCAAACGTGCATGCCACAGACTAAAAGTGCGAAAAGAAACATCATAAACACTAGAAGTAGGTAGGACAGAAGCTTGAAGACTCGTTCCTGGTGGTTCCCCAAAGTAGTAAAGCACATCACGCTCATGTCAAAAATCCTCTTCGAACAAAGGTCCTGCAACAAACAGTGATCTGGTAAGAATATAATTCCACATTGGAGGTTTTTTGCAAACCGGCTAACAGATAAAAGGTTAAAGGCAAATTTAGGTACATGAAGGACAGATGAAAGAGTAATATCAGGAGACAGACAAACATCACCCTTGCTGTGAATGTAAGATGTAGAGCCATCCGCAAGATACACAGATTGGGTGACAGGTATGACATTAGAAGAAAAAACTGATAACTCACCAGTCATGTGATCATTGGCCCCAGAATCTAGAACCCAAGTGGGCTGCTTGGCCTTAACATGAAATGCAGTAGGAGTACCTGTAGCAATAGTTGCAGTGGGAGCAGTTGAAGGAGCACTAACTCTAGAAGCAAGGGAGCCAAGCTGGTCTTGGATATGCCCAATCTGAGACTGAAGCTGGCTCAGTCCAGGAAATACAGTAGATCCACCAGTAGTAACAGGAGTTTCTGCAACAGCCACAGTACGAGAAGAACCAGTTCCAGATAAACGGTTCCTAGAAAATTTTTGCTTCAGTTCAGGATGAAGTTTGAAGCAACGAGCCTTAACATGTCCAACCCCTCCACAATGGTGACAAATAATCTGACCTCTAGAAGCTCGTGATCCAAAGTTGGCTGCAAAAGCCATACTATCCCCAGCAGGCTCAGACACTGGTACAGGAACAATTGAGGGCTGAATTAAACGGTGCCTGCGTGCTTCACCATAAACAGTAGCAAAGGCTTCCAACAGGGATGGCATTGGTGATGCATTCAAGATCTGAGACTTTAGTGGTTCAAATTCTGGGCGTAATCCCATCAAAAACTGATAGGTATGCTGACGATCAAGACGTTTGACAAGAAGAGAGGCTGCCTTAGAAGGAAATTCACTGAGAGGCTCATATTGAGCTAGTTCCTCCCAACGAGATCTCAAATATCCAAAATAATCAGTTACAGACAAATTCAGGCCTTCCTGCAAGGCCTTAGCAATATCTTGATATAATTCAAAAATACGAGCATCATTCCTAGAATGAGCATACATTTGATTCAAAGCAGTCCACAAGTCATTAACAGAGTCATAAAACATGAATATATTATAAATGCGTTCCTCCATAGAATTAAACATCCATCCTAAAATGGTGCAATTGTCCATATCCCACTGAGCATATTTAGGATCTTTAATATCTGGCCTATTTTCAGTACCCAAAATCCACCTTGATTTGCCTTTTCCACCAACATAGAGGCGGAGGGAACGAGCCCAGGATGCAAAATTACGGCCATTCAACAGCACACTAGTAACTCGTTGAGCCGGTGTGTGTTGCGCCGAAAAGAGAGTTTCTTTATTATTACTTGATTCAGCCATAATATTAAATAGATCAATTCAACAGATTACCAATAATTTCAAATAAAGGAGGAATAAACCTGATTTTGATCAAACCAAGAAGCTAGAGACACAACGGTCTGATCCGAAAATGCTGCCGAATATCCCGGCAGCCCCAAAAAATTACAAACACGTCTTTTGACCCTTAGTGCATGAAAAAGACTAAGGGAATACCCCTACAGGGGTCGAACCTAGAGGAGATTGACTCCCCCTAGGACTGTCGCAACAGCGACCTGAAAAAGAGAGAAGGTCTGTGAAAAAAAATAAATAAAATAAAAATATAGGGAAAGGGCTGTAACGAGATAGAGAGAGATATTAAAAGAGGCGGTGAAAGAGAGAGAGATGGGGGAGGCGTAGGTTTGAGGCTCTGATACCAAAAAGTAACTTGGTAAAATTGGCGTACTCAATTTGAGAGCCTGACTATCATTATATACAAGCGGAAAATTACAAATATGGAAAAGAGAATAAAATCAAATCAAAATAAAGAGAATAAAATCAAATCAAATCAAATCAGAATTAAAATAAAATCCCTAAAAATTAGCCTATATTGAAGACCCAATAAATCTGCCATAATCGTTGAGTCAACTTATAGATAAGATTTCCAACAAAAACACTTGTTTATGTACTTACCAGTGTTTTAGTTTACTTCACTTCATGAAAATGACTCACGATAACTCAATCTCAGTCACTTCGGGTCAGCTAGATGGATCCCCCATCTAAGTCGACTTTAAAGTGGCATTATTGATTCAATTCAAGACTGTCATGTTTCCAACCCTCCCCCTCCCCTTTTCCTCTCTCCCTCCCTCCCTTGTGGTTTCATTTCACATTCCTTTTTTTAGTATTCATCTTGTTCTTCTTTACAGGACTTTCTACTTGACCAATTAAAAAATTTCCCAACAATAAAACCTTTTGGGATTTCATGTGTAATGCTGTTACCATCACAAGTATGGCAGAAATTTAATTAATTTTTGGCAGGAGTTACAAGCTTTTCTTGGGATCGTCTCATGCTAGTTTTTTTATGCTTATATGACTGGATACCATTACTTGGTGCAATGGTAAACGTCTGTCCACCAAGCATGCATGAGAATTCGGATTTAAGTCTAAGAGTAGTTACTTTGTGTATTTAACACCAAAAGGTTAAATCATCTGAGAGCACCTCATATCAACGGGATCAACATCGTTTAATGGTGTCTGGATGAATAAGGTTTCAACTTATGATATTACTCAGACGAAATGAATGTTGTGTTTTATCAACCTGCTGATGCAATTCCATCATTCCTTACCTATTAGAAGATAATCAAGCTGTTAGCTACACTACTGATGCTAGTGAGTGTGTTTCTTGGCTGTGATACTGCAGATACAAACAGTAGCAAAAACGGCTGGTATGCATCATAACATATGGGTGGAGAATGCCGATCGTTTAGTTGCAGGTTTTCTTGAGATGTTTGAAGAAGGTTGCCACAAAATGGTGAGAGCTCTGTCTCTCTTTCTCTCACACGCACAAACACACGCACACATAGCACATGCGGGCACACGTGCTTACTCACCCACATCTACAAGCACACAGACCTACTTGCAGACAAAGTAGAGGTTTCAGTTGAATGGTGAGCTTTCATGCACGCACATACTAGCTGGTAGAAGAAGATGCCGTTGTCATTTGTGTTCATAAATTTTATACTTCTATCAGGGAACTGCCATTAGAGATCGAATTCAAGAACAATTAATTCAAAAGGCAAATATAAGAGGACTCATATATGATGAGGAAGATGATGATGAGTATTATTATGACGACAGCAGTGAAGAAGAATTCTATGACAATGAAGATGAAGAAAAAGCTGTTTCACTGTAATCATCTTTCATGGTAATGTTATCTGAGTACCCTCCCGTTGAATATTCCTCGCAGTTGTGGGGCATGAATTTAGTCTGCAATGCCTAGCATGAGACATCATCTCTAATGGTTAATATATATATATATATATATGTGTGTGTGTGTGTTTGTATATATTTGTTCTGGCTTAAGAAAGCAAGTTGTCTATGGAACTAGCAACTGCAGGTATTTGTTGAAGAAACAACTTTATGTCAATTTATGCAGATACAGGTGAGTGCTGGGATTGAAATATAAGGTTGAAGCCTTACTTGGAGATAGATGTGCTATGTATGTTATATTGCAGTTTTCAGCTCATGCCTTCATTGTTTAACTTGATTTGTTTTTTTTTTTTTTTTGACAAGTTTAACTTGATTTGTGAACTCTTTCAATATGACATTTCCTTATTATGTAGAGAAGTTTAATCTCGTATGCGTTATGGCATGAAACTTCGTATGAACATATCGAGTTTGCTCGTCCATGTTATGTCATGTTTGTCAGTGGGAATTTAAGATGTCCCATATATACTTAGAATGCCGGTAGATTCACCCAGAAACGTTACTGGATTATTGTTACAAGGGGTACGTTGGATCCGGATTGGGAAGTGAAATGGGTATAAATGAGTGAATATGTAGCACTACCCAATAACTTAAGCTTTTGGGTAAATGGGCAAGTGCCCACCCATTATAGTTGGTATCAGAGTCAGACTCAATCTTTGAGTTGGTGTCACGCCAAGCGCCCGGTCCGGACGCGTCTGGGTGCCTAACCGCAATGAGGGCGTTGCGAGTTCGGGTGGAGGAGAATGTTACAAGGGGTACTTGTCCCATATCGGATCCGGGTAAATGGGCAAGCGTCCACCCGTTACAACTATCTAGGTGATGCATGACCTAGAACCTTTGTAAGAATTGTAAACAAAGCGATCCAACTTCTCCATTAGTTTTATTCTTTAATTTGACACATAAGCCAATAGGGGTTGTTGGGTGAATTCAATTTTATTGCAAGTAGTAGAATGCAGAATAGAGAATTAAAGCCTAAACATTTCAATGTTCTCAAAATAATAACATACTCAAACAATGCTTGTAAGGATGCCTTGGCTTTACTCTTAACTTTTGCTGCATTTGCTTTATTTACTCAAATTTAAAGTACTCGGAACTCAATCCGATAAATAGAGCCATTCTCTATATATGTTGAGTAGTCAGGCAGGGTCAAAATAGAAATAAATTAGCATTCGCGAAACATTGTTACTACATTGTTACTACGCTCCCTTGTAATCATCTCTTTCATAAGACTCTTTCTTTATATCGTTCTGGTTTTCTAGTCTTATTTTTATTTTATTTTTTTATTGTTCCGAAAGCAAGATGTTCTGTTTTGAAGTTGAGTACGCTCACCAACTCTAACCGCATGGATGGTGACTTAAATGGCCAACCACATTCACCTAACATATATGGCAGGATGATTAATTAGTTACTCTTTCAATTAAATACTGCAAAGCTTGGACCAGTGTTGCTGAATTTGCCATGCTTATTTTACCTCCCAATTGTGTGTGCGTGTTCATATCAACATAATTGCATGTTTAAAAAAAAAAAAAAATAGTCGCTTTCTACAATATGTCAGCATGATATCAGTTCTAGTAATCTGATATTCGATAAAATTAGTAAAAAATTTATGGGAAACTTAGGTTTAGACCTTCTAGACTTGTACTACACAGTCAACTGCCGCAATCGATATCAATTGAGACTCCATTGAATTGAATTGATTTAAAGTTAGTTTCCATTGTTGTAATTGATTTAGATTTTAATGTTTTATATGTTGGTTATGTTGAACTTTTAACACAACTAGTCACCACATTTGAAATGTTGAACATGGAAGAGAAAATATGGGAGCCCCTTGCTTTTTATCACACACACGCGCACATACACGCGTTGTTTGGTCTATCTGTGCCGAAGTCCTTTAATTAGCATGCATGTTTCTACAAATGGGGTTATTTTGTCAAATTTTCGGTCTGATCCTATATAACTTCCGGTTTGATAAATCAACTTCACACTTGAAATTTGAAACCTGGGACTGGACTTATGGCGGCTCATGTGATTCGGGACTAGCAATTAGTAAGACATAAAGAAAATGTGTTGTAATTGTAGTAATGTTATTAGTATACTTTTCCGACATTTGGAATATACATACATCCTGTGGTTTACATTGACTGAAAAATAGTATAACAGTTGGAAAATTCAATATGGTGAATTAATTCCTGTATGTAAATGGGAAAACAAAAATAATTGTGCCCAATTAATCCATAGTTGGTTGAATGTATGTATGTATGTATGATCAATCTCTCTTCCACCCAAGCCACCCAGCTATCTAGCTATATTACAGTAATTTCTTCCTTGGTTTGATCAGCTAGCTACTTTGAAGAAATTCCTTGATCCGCCATCACAAAAACGTTTGCTGGAATGGGCACATCGGACTCAATCACAACGCGGTTATTAGAGACATTACGCAAGGCATGCTTAGGAAATGAAGAAGAAATGCTGCTGCTGCTGCTACTAGTGCTAGTGCTAGTGCTTGATTTTAATAATAATGTGTAGTGCACCTGGTTTATAAGGTTTGGGAATAATAGAGTTGAACTAAGGTCTACCATCCATGAAGTACCATTCCCCTCCACGCTTCCTCTTGCAACTGTCGCCTTATACTTCATCCCCTTCACATTGTTTTGATCAATTACAACTTGATCAATCTCCTTGAATTCCCCATTTCTTTCATCCAACTGAACAATCTCGATCCCTTTATCACTCCCAGAAAACATGTTATTCACAATATTCACTCCATTCACCACGCCATTTATGGATTTCAGAACAATGTATGCGTCCCCAAGGAAGAAACTACTTGAGATGTGAAGTTGCACCGGATCTTCTGCAACGATGCCTGTGTAGTCCAAGTAGGAATTCACTATCCGAGTTTGTGTCAAGCCTGGCAACTTTATGTAAATCCCAGTACCACCAAAGCCTGTTGCTTTGTTGTAGCAATGTACCCCAGAAAGCGTGTTAGCTTGACCTGAAATCATGATTCCAACCGCAGCTGAAAATATGACGACATCCGTCACAGCATTGTCGTTGCCCATTAGGTTGATTGCGGTGGCTGAGAAGTTTCTCTCGCGGGGATCACCTCCGGCAGTAATGTGTTGGCCAAGGAAGGAGTTTCGGATGTAGGTTTCATGACCACCTTGGACTAAGATACCATTGGTGGTGAAATGAACAATGTAACAGTTATCAATGCTAGTTCTAAGTCCGTTTATAACTTGAATGCCTCCACCCCTGTAGTTTGAGTCCAACATCAGGTCTTTCAGTGTTATGAACTCTGTGTTATACGATCCAACGTTGCGGTTGCCTGATAAATCAATCAGATACCCATCACTTGGAAAATCATCCGAAGCTCTTATTGTTCCTCCATGTATCTGTATTTATTATTTATATTTATCACCAAAAATTCTTCAGTTTTAAATTTTAGGACAAGCTTAGAGTTCAATTGATACGTACTGAAGATTATATAAATAAATGAAGAATTAATGTGATACCTTGTCTGATGCTGAAAATTATATAAATATATCATGTATTTTTTATTTTTTTTTATTTTTTTGGAGAGATTGGCGTCAGTGACTACTTCAGGCCTATGATGCTGATCTCTCCAAACCTCCCTCCCCTGTAACCTCTTCTTGATTAATCAAGAATATATATATATATATATATATAAGAAAGGGAGAGGTTATATGCAGAACCAATTGGACCTTTCATAGAAGGTAGTAACAAACATATGTGTTTAATAATATTCTTAAATCAAAATTGACTAAGCAATGGTTAGTACAATATATATATATATATATATATATATATATATATATTTGGGGGTGGGCATATAAATTAAGGAATTACCATGAGGTTACCTAGGCCGGAGTTGGGGAAGCGCAGGGGGCGGCTGATGAGGTAATAGCCACCTTGAAGGTAAATCTGTGCACCCCCAAGATTAGCGATTCCCTGAATCAAGCCTCCATCGCTACTGCTGCCTGCAACTGCATCTGATATAGCTTTAACAAATGCCTCCGTACTATCTCTTTTCCCTGTTGAGTCTGCACCATATGATGTCACGTTATACACTTTTGCTCCTCCATTAACCTACATCCATCCATCTCCATCATATTATTCATCATCATATATTTTTATCACATAACATCAATTAATTTTCTATATATATGGTATACATGAGTTAATTAATTATGTAAAGTTTCAATATATATATATATATATATGGTAATTAATTAAAGAGTAACCAAGAATTAAGTTAAGCCACAATTAAACAGGTACTCACCGATGGTGATAGTGATGGTGATGCTGATGGCGATGCCGATGGTGATGCAGGTGACGGTGCCGGAACATCACTAAGAGACAACAAAACGGAAGGCGAATGATAGCGGGGTGCTAATGATGCCTTGAATGCTTCCAGTTTTCGCATTTGGTCACGGTGGTGGCGGCCAAGTCCCACTGTCGACCAAGAATGCTCATGCTCTCCTCCTCCTCCTCCTCCTCCTCCTCCTCCTCCTCCGTATACAACATCATTCATTGACACTAAGCTAATTACCAAACCCATTATGCTTGAACACACTAGTATTACACCTCTCCTTCTTGCCATTAATGCTACCAATATACCTGTAATTCTAATATATGTGTGTGTGCGTGTGTGTTTGTCTTAATTTCTTGTAATTCGACAAGATCGACTACTTCTTGAATCTTGATCATAAAACCATTTATATATAGCTGTTAGATTGATGGAGCAGAGAGAGATAGTAAGACACGAAAAGGGAGGCCTAACTGAGATTGGTAAAGAAAATCGTATCAACTTATTTCATATTGGATCATACATATAACACCCACACTACTGCATCCGTGAAATTAATGGCTACGTTTCTCATTTCTAGCTATTAATACTACACGCGTGTGTAATGTATGTGTGTGTGTGTGTGTGTGTGTGTGTGTATTCATATATGTATGTACTATGTATGTAGGTGGGCCTCCATCAGGCTTTTGAATTATTCTTCCCTTCTGTGACACAAAAGAAAAGTAAGCAGTGACCAACTTCTTACTTTTAGGATCCTAACAAGTTTGACATTAATTGTGTAAAAGGTATTTTTACTCCCAAAGACAAGTTACACATCTTCCTACTTCATCCATCAACTACTTTTTCTTTAACATATAATATAGGGGCTAACTTATGCTTAAAGTTTTCTTCTCCCCTTCCTGTGTTTTGTTATGTACTTGGACAGTTAATTTGATTATATATGCTTAATTTATTAACAAACGTACAGCTCAGATTAATTTCCCATTTATAGTAGTCATGACCAAGATCGATGATCATCCATGGTATTGGACGGCCCATAATTAATTATACTTTTGTCTAATACTCCATATACTTTTGAATCTATCACCTCCAATTTTATGGTTGGTAATTTTTTTTTTATTTTCTTCCGGCCGATGGTCAATCCATCGGTAAGTCCAATGAATGAGTAATTTAACACCGCCTATTTTTGTTTCTAGGAATTTACATTTTGAGTGATTGAAGAAGACTAAAACTATATATACAGTCCATAGTATTGGATTGGATGAGAGATAAGGAGCTAAGATAATACTTTCTTTTTTTATATATATAAACAGGAGAGCTAAGATAATATCGTCTTAATACCATTCGATCACATGAAAAATCTATTTAATTCGTTAATATAATGAATGAGTTTTAATATATTGTTTGGCTTGTAATTGTATACTATATAATATTAATACCACTAAGTAGGTAGTGTGCATTTGTTAACAAGTCCTGATCGCGCCATCAGTGGGTACTTCCATTGACATCATCAAACCAAAAATGGTTCGTAGTTGGTATTTACAGTTATCCTAATTGATTTTGTTGTTCGGTTGCTCCAGCTGCTCTATCTATGTGCTTAATTCACAATCATATTGTTTTGCCCATTATTTTTATACTACCATAAAAGAAACTGTAAAATATACTACCGTAAACAAATTCCAAATCCATCAACCAAAATAGTTTTAAGGTGGGCCGGCCACATTACAGTTTTGGAGAAGACTAGTGATATTTTTAAAATGGATTATTAAATATAAATGATATTAATGATTCATATTTATTATTTCATGTAGTCAAAGTTTCATAATTCTAAAGTAATAAAGTTGACCAAAATACTAGTGTGGATATGAAAAAATATTGTTTATTTGTCAAAAGGTATCAATTTTGGGCACATAAGTATCACTTTTTGCGCAGCAAGTATTACTTTTTGTCATCGGGTATCACTTTTTGTGCTATACAAAAAAATGGTACATGCCTACACAAAAAGTGATATCTATGTGTATAAAAATGATACATTTATGCTCAAAACAAAAGTAGTACCCGATGACAAAAAGCGGTATCGGAGTACCTATGTACCTAAAAGTGATACATTTTTGACAAATAAACAGTATTTTTTTCATATCATTTTGGTCAATTTTATTTTTTCGACAGTATGAGATTTTGGATCTATCAAATGATAAATATGTGACCTTAAAACCATTGATATGTAATAATCGCTATTTGAAACAGAAAGGCTTGTCAATTAGAAAGTGGACAAAACTTGATTCTGTTGTTTTTTTGCATGGTAAGTGGTGAAGGAAAGCATAACAACACTATTTGATTTTTCAAATTGCCGAGTTTCGTGTGTCGTCCTCTAATCATTTTCCTTTGGAGTAGGTAACACGGATGTTCTTGTTCTAACCTCACCCGTGATTATTAGATCTTTAATTAAGATATATATATATATATATATATATATATTTAAGTCAGTGGAGTGGAAGCACGAAAAGATCGCATATATTTAAGTCAGTGGAGTGGAAGCACGAAAAGATCGCGTCATGGATCCCAGTTAATTAATTGTTTGATGAATGTGTTTCGTGGAGGTGAAACATTATACATTTCCGAATGCAAATCGTGTGAGCTGTGAGTCTGTGACATTAAATTGTCCTGTGCAACTTCACTTTTAGATTGATCATACATATATATATATATATATAGAGAGATTAGTGGTTTCTTGCTTCCTATAGAGTAAGGAAATTCTTTCGCATCGTTTATAGTGACCATTAAATTAAATCTAATAGTCACATTCTAAACACACCTATATGCTTTCCTTTCAATACAACAACATTATTACTATTTCAAGTTTCTAAATTTAATATTTATCAATACCATTAATTATAACAATAAAAGATAAGTACTAAAAAAATAAAAATAGAAATCTCTTCACCTCTCGAAATCACGTCTCATCACTAATCGAAATTTTAGTTTCTTTAAAAAAAAAATTATAAGTGTTAGAGAATTGTATTCATGACTTGATACTAAAGTTGTCATTGCGTATTTGTTTGAATGTGAAAAAAAAATTTAAAATTACACTATTGACATACAAAACATCAACTAAAACATTAATAAAAAGGTAACATGTGATTTGCAACACTTCACAATTTAAATTATTGTATAGCTCCCTAAATGCATACTATTTAAAAATTAGAAATTCAATCTATTAACCCCTTTGTCACAAATTGTTTCATCTTTTTTGTTAATTTTGTTTTATTTTATTTCAGATTTTAACTATTTGTAAACACATTCCAATTACTCATATGTCATAATAAATCGTACAAAATCTTTTTTCTAGTTCTACTATAATAACAAAAATTTATTGACATAATGAGGAGATTCACAACAAAAAATTATATTATTCTATGAAATTTCAGATTTTCGTTGTAAATTAGTTATTTTTCTTAGTTTTTTCTTTAATACTGCTATTATTATCATCATTTTTTTTTTTTTTTTCACCATCATCATTTTTTTTTTTTTTGTAAGCAAATAAAGTATGAAAGACTGCTAATATGTAGAGTAACAGCAAAGACATCAAAGAAAATAAAAATTCCCATTAGTGGAGGTGAGACGTTCCAGAGGTGAAGCGATTTATATTTTTATTTGTTTGGTACTTACCTTTTATAGTTGTAATTAGTGGTATTGGTAAATTTTAAATTTACAAATTAGAAATAGTGATAGTGGTTTTATATTAAAAGGAAAATATATAGGTGGGTTTGGAATTTGACCATTAGATTTAATCTAATGGTCACTATAGAAAGTGCAAAAGAATTTTCTTGCTCTATGGGAAGCAAGAGATCATTACTCTATATATATATATATATATATATATTGGATACTATAAGTTAATAAATGATTGGATCGAAGATATATACTGTATATAACAACACACACAGGAGGACTAGGGCTGCAAATGAACCGAGCTGTTCATGAACAGTTCGAGCTCGGCTCGTTAAAAGCTCGGCTCGGGCTCGTTCGTTTAGTAAACGAGCCGAGCTCGAGCTCATTTTCCAGGCTCGTTTAATAAACGAGCCGAGCTTGAGCAATGATGAGTTCGGCTCGTCAAGCTTGTGAACAGGTTTATTTAGTTAATAGGGCCTATATTTCAAATTTTGTTACTAAAATTTAGCCCAAACACTTAAAAGTTTTTAAAGGTCCATGTAGTAGATTGGTTTTATAAAATTAAACTATATCCATTCTTGAAGCCCACAAGCTAATAAGCCCAATATCCTATACAATTTATCACAGCCATTGGATTACACATGTTATAGCCAATTAACTATAACAAAAGAAAAAAAAAACCCTAAGTTCCTAACTCTTGTTGAAGACGGCAACCATAGGAGACCTCTCAATCCGTCCATCTCAGATTCATGTTGACAGCTACTCTACTAGCGACCGATGCGAAAATCTTACTCCAACAACAACTAATACAAGGTTATTACTATATCCCTTTCTCAACCATTTTTATTAATCTCAATCCGTCCATCTCAGATTCATGTTCTTTATCTTGACAACCACCTTTTTTCTTCTTCTTTTCATGGAGTTATAAGAGGATGAAAAATACTTTGGGGCTAGAGTGCTTAGGAAGAATTAGATAAGAAAATAGGGTTTAACACGATGATTAAGAAACTGATTCCATCCTCTATAATGCGATCGAAAAGCTGTGGGATTTGCGGATATGTAGAAGATTAAGAGGCTGATTTATGCAATGGAGCTTGAGCCGAACCGAGCCCGAGTTTGTCCAAATATTGGCGAGCCGAGCCCGAACTTGGCTAAGTTAAGCTCGCCCGAGCCCGAGCCAAGCCCGAGCAGCCTTCTGAACCTGGTAAGCCGAGCCCGAGCAGGCCAAAACTCGGCTCGGCTCATTTGCAGCCCTAAGGAGGACACACTAAAACATTACGATGGATAGTAGTATATGAAAGAAAAATCACATTGTGGACCTAGCCTGCTCCAAAGTCCAAATCACATGTGGCATGCACGCATAAACCCAGCCCAACTCCAACTCTAAAGTGTATAATATACGCATGGGCCATGGCCTTGCATTTGCTTCATTGGTATAATATATAGGGTAAAGTGAAAAAAAAAAAAGGAGGAAGAAGAAGAAGAAGATAACTCCCAATACATGG